TTTAAAAAATTTTAAAACTAAAATTTTAATTTTAAAATTATAATTATATTAAACATAGCCTAAATTAACTTTTACATTTTTTTATGCGGGAATTGCGCGCATGTTTTTCATTTTCAGGGAGAAAAACTTTATCAGTGGCACTTTTGGGTTTCCAAAAGTTAAAAGGCAATTTCTTTTCGTAAGAAAAGAAACCAAAAGGCAAAAGCAATGGGAAAGGATTATAATCACGATCTATTGTCACGTCCCAGAACCCAAATCCAAGAACCTAAATCCAAGGCGTAACAAACCCCCACACTTGTGAGAAGGTTCTACAAATACACAATGCTCAAAATTTATTATACCACAATCTGATACCATAAAATTTGAAGATAAAATTATAAATTTGCTCTGATATCATAAAATCTCCAAATATAGTTTAGCTTACAAGATCATGATTTATATCTAAAATCTATGCTTAATTTACAAGATGACTAGCCTTCTAACTCGTCACTCCCCTCGTTTTTCCCCGTCTTTGGTTTCGCTTCCTGAAATGGTGGACAAGGAAAAACTATGAGATAAAATATCTCAATAAGTAAATATATGGATAGCCCTTGGGTAAAATTTAAGCATGCCAAATAAATAGTTTAACACAATAAAACATTCAATGATAAACCGTTAATACAAAATCAAATTCAGTTCAATAACAAAATGTTCAATGACAAACCATTAATGCAGAAGAAAATTCAATAGTAGTCTCATCTATAAGTCATGGCCAGCGTTTAACACCCACTGGCAAGCGTCAGAAATTACCAATGTATTTGCCCAGTGGCAGGCGTCAGAAATTACCAATGTGTTCGCCCATTGGCAAGCGTCAGAATTTACCAATGTGTTCGCCCATTGGCAAGCGTCAGAATTTACCAATGTGTTCGCCCATTGGCAGGATTATAGAATGAACCGATCATATCAGTAAACATGTCGACATGTGCCAGCGTTTGCAAACTCCTACTGGCGGACGTTGGTAATCATGACTATATCAGAGACAAAACAATGCAGAATTTACAGAAAAATCCGTAATTCACAATCAATCTCAAATTTCAAAAATAAACAAAAAAATTTCCATGCGAGCATGGATTTAACAGAAAAACTCAAAATTTACAAAATTCTCAATTCATCAAGGCAGTTCAGTCAATTCCAAGTAGGCATGCTCTTACTCAATGAAAATGAAAATAATATCATTTCAAACCAATCATGTTCAGTGCAAATAAAATCAATTTAAACCTTACCACCATCTCAAAAACAATTTAAAACATACTTTGAAATCGAAGAGCGTTACCATAATTTACTTACCTCACTCGTATAAAACCAAAGACTCAATCCCAATGCTCTAAGCCATAACAGCACCTAATATTCCAAATAAATGCATTCAGACCTTACTAGAATTATTAGCACAACCTCACAAATTTACTAATCAATGAGCTTCACACGAAATTCAACCATAATATAACTCACTTTTATTCAAAACCGTATATCTACCCAAAGTCCAAATATTTTTAAATAAAATCATAATATCCAAAAATCTCTTAAACAAGAGAT